GGGGGGGGGGGGGGGGGGGGGGGGGGGGGGGGGGGGGGGGGGGGGGGGGGGGGGGGGGGGGGGGGGGGGGGGGGGGGGGGGGGGGGGGGGGGCGTACTCTGATGTGTTTGCGTGCCTTAGCAGGTAGACCGTTGACCACGCGTCCTCAAGTCCCGGAGAGGACGAAGCATTGTTCCCACAGGACCGATCACCGATGGTCAATCGTTCCTTCATACATTGCGAAAGGTGGGGAGAGTATCGTTGTTTTTGACGGGCGTGACCACCTGCTATGTGGCGGTGGGAGGGAGAGGCAGAGGGAAACCTCGCACAGCCGTAGGGGAGTTGCGTCCTAGTTGGCGTTCTTACGCCAGCGGGATGCTCCCGTCGGAGGGTCGAGTCCATGTTTCCCGGATCGGAGGCGCGGCGTGTGCGGCTAGATGCGCATCGTCAGGTTTTCGCTGACGAGGCGGCCTTTCTTTGCATTGGATCTCGCTGAGGTCCAAGCATCAGGCGTGATGTGGTCTTTTCGTACCATGTGTTAGCTTGATGGACGAAGAGGGGGCGGAGGGCTCGTGCGGCTGCTGTTGCGATCCTCGTCCTTTCCGCCATGGAACTTTTTTTTGGTCGGTCTCCGTTGGGAGGCTTGACAGATTGCTGGAACGCGTGCAGGAACGGGTTTGTAACGTTTTTGTGAGATTAAAAGGCCACGATGGTCCTTCGACAGTTGCACATGGTTACCGAAGAGGAACAGGTGTTCACTCAAAAACTATCGGAGCAGCTTTGAGGAGAGCACGCAGGGGGCAATTTTTTTCTGACCTTGTTTCCCCGTTTATTATCTTTCGTTCTTACTTCACACTGCCGCGCGGTTGCACTCCGGCCCCCTTCTTGTCATGATCTTTTTTTTTTTTTGCAGTACGTCGGGGCGAGCGTGGTAATCGCGGGGATCATCGTCACGCTCATCCCGACGTTCTTCGGGCACCCTGCCGGAGGGGAGGGCGTGGATGCCTCCATGCAGATTATCTGGAGCGGCGTGCAGGTGTGAATCAGCGACCGCCGCCGTCGATGCGTATTATAGTGCAAATACAGCAGTTTCGCTCATACTCCCCCGTAATAGCACGATTCTCCCCCATAGCATGGTACAGAGGGGGGCCCGGTATAGTGCAGGGGTGTGTCCAGAAATTTTACCTGCACGATGGCGAGCACCTGCACTTCTCCGAAGAGTGCCTCAATAGTGCAGGTTCGGCACGATTGAGGTTTCGAATAGCCCTCAGTAGTGCAGGTCCTGCACTGTTGAGGAGATGTTTGACTTCATGGTGTAGCGCTCACGCTTTGCAGGGTTAACTGGGTACGAAATGGATCGAATTGTTGTTGTACTGGGCCCTGTCCTAGCGTGGGCATGGGCAAGACTGTCTCGCGACGCGTTGTGGCTCCCCCCTGTCGCACACACAGATGTTGTAGAAAAATCACTCTTCGGTCTGCAGCAGCACGTGTACCCTCGTTTCTGTGTTGCTTTCGTCCGCTGTCAGTGTGTGTGTGTGTCTTAATTATTAGCATCGACGGCGCTAACCGGCTGACCAATCAAAAGACGTCAGTCTCAGTGCGGATAAAAACACAACACACTTTCTGAATGCCAATGACGGGAATCCCGTGAGGGGGCGGCATGGGGGAGATAAGCTATTCTCCGAATGAAAGACAGAAACGGTAGCAACAGAAGAAAACTGCATGCGTCTACCAAGGCTGCTAGCTTGCACTCCAGTTCGTTTTGGAGTGCTTTCACCATCATCATCATCCTTGCTTTCACCACCGTCATCATTATCATAATCATTTCCACAGCATTGTTTTTTGGCAATTCTCCTCTGTGGCCCTGCGTCGTTTGTTGTGGTGAAGGTCATCTGGCCCGAAGCTCTTGCTTTTCCACGCCATGATTCCCTCCTTGATTGTTGTGTTGGTCTTTGTGTGTGTGTCCAACCTGCACTACTGCGGGGCACCGCGGTGCCCAACCTGCACTACAGCGGGACCGCCCTCAATAGTGCAGGACTGCACTTTTGAGGGCGCTGTCTGTGTCCACAGAGATTTCACCTGCACTATTCAACCTGCACTATACCGGGCCCCCCTCTGTAGCACGATTATACAACGGATTCTCCCCCAGACCATGGTAGCACGATTGTATGACGGCGGAGGTGACTTTTGAGATACTGCACCAGGTTTGACTCTTTCCTGCAAAATGCCGTTGGAGGAGGTGTGCGGACCGATCGACCCGGAATATCCGTGCGCCCCTCCAGGTCCTCTCCTGCATCCCCATGTGCCTGAGCTCCGTGTACAAGGAGAAGGCTCTTGGTGACGACGACATGGACGTCATCTACCTCAACGGGTGGGTGGCGGTGTTCCAGTTCCTGGCCAGCCTCCTCTTCGCCGTGCCTTCGGCGTACGCGATGGGTCTGCCCGTAGCGGTGAGGGAGAAAGAAGAAGGTTGCGGCTGCTATGTAGGACGAGTCGTAATCGAGGAAGTAGCAGATATTTTTGTGCGAGTACTGCTGTACACCGTTGATTGGGCATCAGAGATTTGTTGCGTGACGTCGTAGAACGGGAATCTTTGATTGCCGCGGCTTGCTGCTGATGCTGCTGATGCTGCTGATACAGATGCTGGTTGTTTGTAGTGAAACGCAAGTGCCAGAGCTCCTACTTTTTCATTGGTCGCTGTTGTTAGCGCTACTGCTATTACGCGGCGGCGGGCGCGAAATCAGCGTCCTTCGGGCAATACGCTCGCGTGACCACACCGGTTGTTGATGACTGTGATATCCTCTCCGACGTTGTTGCTTGCCTGGCTGAAAGCAACCTCCCGTTAACCCCGCCGCAGGAGCTGCCACAAAACACCTACGAGGGCTACCTCTGCTTCATGGGCGAGAACAGCCACTTTACTGACATGGCCAACATGGCAGCGACAACAGGGTGAGTTGAGCTGAGCTGAGCTGAGCATCAGAGTGGCCGCCAGCGTCCACTTATTGCTTCTGTGTGCTTTGGTCATGCTTACCGACATCTTTGACGATAGCAGTTACCGGCATTCAACAGCAGCAGGCACTTGGCTCCCGTGTGTCAATAGATTACCGGAAAAAGGGGAGTAATGGCCAAGCCCCCCTCCTCGCCGGCGATGTCGACATCAATCAACATCCTTGTTTGGAATTGACAACCTAGAGCATCGGTCGTAGACTTTTTTCGAGCTATCTATGCTGATACGAATACCTACTCCCCTTGTTTTGTCGTAGTTGCTTGCGAAGTCAATCCGAAACGTCAGCTCTCCCACTGAAAGACGCCAAAGAAAAATATGTATGTTGGGTGGGGGGATTCTGTTTCGAGAGTCTTGAGGTGACGTACTGTACGCCTGGCGTTTCTGAAGGTTGGCTGTTGATATTGCGTCCCCAAAACTCACAATTTTGAAATCCCCACGAACCACACACCGCCCTCACACATCTTGCTCTGCCCCCCCCCCTGTCTTGTATTTTATTCAGCGGCAACATAGCTGACATGATTCCGCCAGATCATTGCGAGACCGCGCCGTTTTTCGTGACGCTGTACCTGTGCTTCAACCTCGTATACAACGTTGTGCTCATCGTCATCCTCAAGTATGGAAGGTGAGACAACAGAGCTGTGTATATAGGTTTGTAATCTTTGTGGTTTGTTTAAGGTTCGCTGGTCTCTTGCAGTTGAAAAGCACGTCCACTGCTGTGTGTGCTGTTCGAGCTTGGGAAAACGTCGCTGATGGCGGGAAGCTGGCAGCTGATCTACACCAACACCTGCATCCTTTGCTTTCATCTTCCATTTCACCTTGATGGCACCACTACTTCGCTCTGCTGAGCCCACTCCGGAGGCGTACCTTGTAATTACATAGTATATGGTGGCGTGTTTTTCGGTGTTGTTGTGCGTGGGGGTTATGAGGCGTGTTGCGGAGAATGGTCGACCGCCCCCGCATGCTGGTTATTTCCGGTGGGAAAACGAGGATGTGTTTTTACCCTTTTATGCAAGAGGTATTCTGATGGGCGTAGAGAGGATTCTGCCAGGTACAAAATGATGGTAATGGTTAGGAGGAGGCGAAGGTCCTCTTGAGGTCATGAGAGGTTAGCTAGGTCCGCGGACAAAGGCTGTGCGTGCGGAAGGCAGTAAGCGGGAGCGAGACCAGACAAAAGTTTCCGACGGGAGGATAACTATTAGGAAGGGTCTTGGTTCCCAGGGAGCAGCAATAACCGACCGTGCGTGTGTTGTTTTCTTCTTATTTTTACGCAATGCTCACCCATCGGGAGCCCGACGCACTCTCCTTACACCTGTTGCAAAGGGGTTTTGCCTTTGGAACGTCAACCCGGACGGGGATCTATTTTTCTTTCGTGTTGAATCTTGGGATTGTCCATCCCTCTCACGCATACAACACGGGTCGTACTTCACATGGCTCAGCACCACCATCGCCGCCGCCACGACTCTCAGCGTTTTCCTCGTGATCTCCCATCCCCTTATCCTCTGTCCTCTGTCCCCTGTCCCCTGCCCCCTGTCCCCGCATTGTACAGCGCGAACGTGCTGTTCCTGGCGTCGACTGTGATGGTCCCCATCGGTAACGTGGCGTTTTCTCTCAAGTTCGTCCCCCATCACCAGGACCTGCACTGGTCGGACACGATGGGATTGCTCTTCATTCTTTCAGGTGAGGAGCTATTATAGATGGCTCCGGCATGCCCCTCGCCTTTGTTTGGTTTCGATGGTGTAGTGGCCTGTTGGGCTCTTCGTTGTTTCCAGGCAAAGAACTGGTTCGGAAGTCGCATGCCCCTTCACCTGTGTTTGGTTTCGATGGTGTGTTGGCTTGTTAATCTCTTTGTTTTTTCAGGTGAAGGGCTGGTTCGAAGTCAAACGCCTCTTTGTACTTGTGCGGGTTCGTTACTATTGGCCTGTTCAGCTGTTTATTCTCGCAGATGAAGGACTGGTTCCGAAGTCGTACGTGTTTACGTACGCCTCTCGCCTGTGATTGGTTTCGAAAGTGTTCGGCCTCTTGGACTCTCCTTCATGCTTTTCGGGCGAACAACTGGATACGAAGTTACATACCCCTTGTCTCGATAGAACTGGCCTGTTACAATGTTTTGTTTCGGTTCACAGCAGTCATTGCTCTTGCTCTTGCAATGTAGGCACATGGTCGTCTTCACAAATACACCCGCACGAAGAATTTCTGAGAGAGTCGGAAGAGCAAACCGAGGAGCTTGGTTTGCGCCGGAGGGACTCTTGTTAATCAGTGCCGCTTTTACCGCTTCACATGTTGCATGTTGCATGCCTTTGGTGTGCACCGAAGACGGTCTAGGAGGGTACTTGTTATTGTTGTCTTTGTTGTTATTGGCCTATTGTTGCGCTTTCATTATATTGCTTCGCTCAACCTTCGTCTCGTAGTGTTTCCTGCTTCGCTTTGTCACATCTGTGTGTGTCTGTCTGTCGCTCCGTTGGAGGTACAACAGGAACGAACTTGACTTGGTTGAGCCTAACCTTAGTGCTACTGCGGTATAATTATGGCAGAGGAACTAACGCAAACATGTTGTCCCGTGTGCGGCCCCCCTGGTGTGCGCGCCGTTGCACTTAATTCATTTTGTGATTGTTGCTCTTCACAACGTTTTTGTGTTGATTGCCTGGTTGGTCGACTGACACAGGGCTCGTGGTGTACCGGTTCAGCGAGCCGTTCCTGGCGTTCTTGCACGACTCGAGCCAAGAGAGCGACTTGGACCAAGAGAGCGCATACCGAGCCAACCAAAAGGTGTGTGTTTGACGCGTCTAGCGTATGTTCGCACTTCTGCTGCAATGGGGTTTGTGGGGTATGGGGTAGCAACATTGAGCCAGCGGGAATGGATCTTGCGATGTGCATGGCCGCGCACCAGTTGCTGTCACTGCTGACTGTTGTGGTGAAGTGGTTGTCCAAGATTCGATCTGAAGGACGTTTTGATCGCACAAGTATGGGCAAGGCTGCCAGCATTTGCTCTTGTTGTGAGTGTCTACATTGAGTTTTTTTATTAGGTTTGCTGCGGCCCGAGCACTTGCTGTCGGCGTTGTTTCCGACACGCACACACGCACATCGCCGCGCGCCACTCGTTATCACGCGTCTTCCGCTCCGCAGAGCTCGAGGTTCGTCGGCATGAACCAGCTGGAATACCTTGAGCCGCTCATCAAGAACCGCGTTTGGCGAGAGCAAAAGGTACGACGATGAAACATAATCGCACTGCTGCCATGATGCGTTTCGGTTTACAGTTGACCCCACTTTAATGACGCAAAGTTTTCTTTGTTTTGATGGGGTTTTTTTTTTAAGCGTCATCAACGCGGGGAAGTGCCTTTGAGGTTGCAGGGGCACCTACATATTGTGTACCTACGGGGCACCCTGCCTCTGAGTGTTGTTTTGTCCTTTAAAGCGGACAGTTGGCTGAAGATGGGTGTCGTTAAAAGCGAGGACGACTGTATCGTGCTCCCACAGCATGATACCAAAGCTGGGATGCCGTTTTCTCTCTTACGGGGGCGACGGTGTTGGTAGGAGGGTATGCGGGGCTTTTGTCCATGCGTGTGCCGTATTTTCCGCGGGCCCGTACATGTTGGGTGTCCTCGAAGATACCGCATGCTGGCGGATCTGGCACTACTGCATATCCGTTACGTATATAGTACTAACCGGGATATGATGCAGCGAGGAGGTTAGTCATTTGTGCGTGTGCGTTTATTGCGTTGACGTGTTTTTTGCCGTCTGCTGAATGAAACACGCGCACCGTGACATCACAGAAGCAGCATTGCAGTACGTAAGGTGGGAATCGAGGAGCAGGGGACCAGATTCGGCAAAAATATGTCCACAGCATTTGTTCGCCCCCCCAAGTACTGAGAAATCACCTGTCGAAACCGCTCCCTGTGTTTTCTGTGTTGGTGGGGATAGGCTCGATTGCTTCGCAGCCCGCAGCAGATTCGGTCGGCCTTCATGCACCGCCTGGGACTGCCGCCGTCCCCGAAGGTGGCGGCAACGCCTACATCGAGGTACAGAACGTTGCTGCTGCTGCAGCTGTTGTTGTTGCTGCTGCTGTCGCTGTTGTTGCTGCTACTGCTGTTGCCACTTGTTGTTGGTTGTGCTGCTACATTCTACGTTGCGTGGTGTTTGGTGGAAGCTTCTTGAAAACGAGTGATCGTAGCACGTGCTTGGTTGCTGCGCGTCCCGTGATTGTAAATTCGCTTCTACGCCCCGCAAACGAGGTATCGTCCCCGCTAGTTCATCCTTGTAAGCCGTACCTGGGCCGGTGAAAATCGGCGGCATATCGCTCCTTCCCAGTATGCGAGGTCAATGGTCTAACGACTACGGCATGCAATACATATGTAGTTACGCCCCCCCCCCCTGGTGTTTGCCATCGGGGTTGGGTTTTCGTCGCTTGGCAACGACGTTGTAAAACAAGCCCCCCCCTCGGTGTTTGCCATCGGGTTTGGGTTTTCGTCGCTTGGCAAAGACGTTGTAAAACAAGCCATTTCACTTCGTGAACTCGGCAACCAGGTTACCGGGTTTTTTTTTACCTCCGGTTTTTTTTTGGGCGGAAACCATAATGGTGGTCGAGTAGATCATGTTGTGCGAGGTGGAGAACACTCGCTCCGCGCAAGGGGGATGATCGCACCACGTTGTGTTGAAATGGTCAAGCACCCTCGAGGCAGTTACACAGTGCTTACAACTGTCTCTGGAAGTGAAAGCACCAGAAAATAAATTAAGTCATACGCAGCTGTCATTCGTATGCAAGGAAGTGAGCACAAGATGCCGAACACCGTTGGCAGGATGCAGCGCACCTTTCATGCGACTCGCCGAATAACTCACGGCGCTTCGCGCTTGGTGATGTGAGAGCCTGGTCCGGTCAGAACCCGGCGTACTCCGTCCCGGCTTTGTAGGGATGCGAGGTTAATGGTTGACGAATACGGCTTGCTCACCCCACCCCACCCCCCCCTGGTGTTTGCCATCGGGTTTGGGTTTTCGTCGCTTGGCAACGACGTTGTAAAACAAGCCGCCCCACCCGGTGTTTGCCATCGGGATTGGGTTTTCGTCGCTTGGCAAAGACGTTGTAAAACAAGCCAATTCACTTCGTGAACTCGGCAACCAGGTTACCGTTTTTTTTTTTTTTCTCTTCGGTTTTTTTTTTGGCGGTAACCATAATGGTGGTCGAGTAGATCATGTTGTGCGGGGTGGAGAACCCGCTCCGCGCAAGGGGGATGATCGCACCACGTTGTGTTAAAATGGTCAAGCACCCTCGAGGCAGTTACACAGTGCTTACAACTGTCTCTGGAAGTGAAAGCACCAGAAAATAAATTAATTCATACGCAGCTGTCATCCGTACGCAAGGAAGTAAGCACAAGATGCCGAACACCCTTAGCAGGATGCAGCGCACCCTTCATGCGACTCGCCGAATATCTCACGGCGCTTCGCGCTTGGTGATGTGAGAGCCTGGTCCGGTGAGAACCCGGCGTGCTCCGTCCCGGCTTTGTAGGGATGCGAGGTCAATGGTCTAACGACTACGGCATGCACGACTATGAGTACCCCCCCCCCCCTCCCCTAAAGCGCCTTCGTGATGTGAGAGCCTGGTTTGGTGAGAACGCGGCGAATCGCTCCTTCCCGGGAATGTACGGAAGCGAGGTCAATGGTCTTACCAACTACAAGCTGAACATGATCACGTTCCCCCCCCCCCCCAACCCGACAACCAACAGGGGACCATCGCCTTACATGGGGCGCACCACCTCAAACACTCGGGGGCCGGCCTCCGGCTACCGCTCCCCGGCGGGCTCGTTCCGGGCGTCGCCCAGCGGCAGGTCTGTTCCTACCACCCGCGCTTCACCCACCATGATCAACTCCTGGACTTCGCCGGCGGCGGGGTATCGGCCCATTCCCGACCGCGAAGCCCCCCCCCGCTCGATCAACGAGTCGTCCGGAGGGAGGGCGGCCGGCCGCGGCCGCATGTCTATTGGCGATGATCAAGCTTGAAATGGAGATCGGGGCGGGTAATATAACCGTGGAGTTGCTGCAGGGGTGAGCATTGACCGACAATCAAGAACTACTTTGCTGCCTTTTTGTTCTTCGCCCTGCCGTGATGATGGGCGTGTCGCCCTGCTACATGGTAAAGATTGTGGAGGTTGCTATGGTGTATTGCGCCGTTTTTGGTGTTGGCTCCGGCCGGAGTTTTCTGGAGCCAATAGAATCGTCGAGAAAGGCGGGTACGTAGGCACGTACTGTAGGTGTTGACTGACCACGAACCGTGTTTCTGCGAGGGGAAGCACACAACTACCTGGAAAAATTCCGACGGGCTTTGTGCGGCTGTTTGTGAGCGAGGTTTTTGGCCGCCTATTGAACTGTGTGTAGGCCTGAAGACCTGCTGGTTTTAACCCGAACTCCTTTGGGTGCGATGGGCGTTTGTGTTTCCCTTTTTCTCAGTGTCTTGTGGCGGCGGTAGCGGCGGTTGGAAGCGCGGTTGTCGGCGAGCGGGTGTTTACCCTGTTTACCTGTGCAGGGACGAGGGGGGGGGCAAAGAGACACAGGGAGAGATGGAGTGCGAGAGATTTGACGAGGGGGGAGGGTGGGGGTAAGGGGAGAAATATACATGTGAGAGTGTTGAGCGCCAGCAGGAACGACTCGAGTTGTTGCCAGAGAGCACGTGTGACTAGGATGTAATTCGATAACACAACGTTTGATTGAATCAATGGCGCGTAAACACGTGTCGCCCCTCGTTTGTTGTGATGGCGGTTGGTGTGAGAGATTGCCGGTGGCCTTCTACGCCTGTTGGTGACGAGAGACAGGATGGCACCACCCGTGTTCTCTGTCTCAAGAGGCGCCAGTTTTCGAGGGGTTGTTGTTGAGGTTCGCGAAAGGACCCCCCCCCACATACTCGCAAGGATGTTGACCAGCTTCGGGTTCATCTTATGAAAGGTAATGTAGCCTGGGTCGGAGAAGCTCCGTCCCGGCGTTGTTAGGACGCGGGGTCTATGGTCTACCGACGACGGCATGTGTTTTCATGAGTATACCCCCCCCCCTCCCTCTCGTTGTTTTTTGTGGTGTTCAGGGATCATATCGGGAAACCACAGCACCTCTTGGTTGTTGCCATGCTGGTGCTACTGGTGTACACGGGGAGGAAAGGGGCGACCACAAGTTTGAGAGTTGTCGAGGAGTGGATGGAGCGGAGCACACGATAGACTCCCCACTTTTGTTTATACATACATATTTTTTTGCCCCTTTTTTATTTAGTGCTTGTTGAGGATTCCCATTGTGTGTGTCATCATTTCGTTCGGTGGTTTGTCCAACTCTTGCCACTCTTTGGTCTCTCGGGAGGATTGATTGTTTATGTTTGTGGTGTACCTTGTTGCGGTCATGGGTTGGTGAAAATGTGTTTGATCGCAATTGTTTGAAGGAGTAGAACCTGGCAGGAGGGACAGGCCGGCAAAGCCGGCAACAACATCCAATATTTTTTGCCACCCCGATGTTTTGGCGAGAGTGAGACGAAGGAAGAAGGACCCTCCGAGCAACGTGACGTTACATGTTGTCAGTAGAACCGTTATTGTGTTGGTGTGGCACAGACGTGTCGTGGAATGCTCCATGTTTTGACGGGGGGGAGCCGTTCGATGAGATTTAGAGGCATTCAGGCCGTGAGAGAGGGTTTTTGTTTTATGAAAGCAGCGCGAACTGGCGACGGTGGATGGCCTACACATATGACGTTATCCCCCCAAGTTTTATCAATCAAGCGTTGACGGCTGCACATAGTCAAAGCGTCGGGACCGCATTGAAAATGAATATTTTCGGAAGTTGTGTCTGGAGTCCGTACACACGGAAGGAACATGACGGTGCATGTATATGAGCTGTGCGATGTCTAATAGGTGATGACCTCGTGTGCTTGACATCAATTTATGCATTCCCATCTGCAGTGTTTTTGTGGAGCGATGATTCAATGGATGTCACGTTCCTCGCAGATGCATTTTGTGGACATGGAGCAAGTGCAGACGTACATTTTTCCCACGACGGAAGATTGGCAACGCAGCTTGCCTCAGGCAACAGTGCTGACCCTCCTAGCATATCCTCTCGGAATCGTTTTCGCGGCGAGACAGACCTCAACAAACGGTAGACCGTAGTTGAGATGAGAGAACACATTCTCAACGCCACGTTCGATGCCGCCGCACGAAACCATGTGCCAACTGCGGTCTTCCTGGTGTGTTATGATCAAGGACAACCGAGCTAATCAATGTCATGTTACCTCTGCACCGCCAGATTACTTTTAACCGTATTTTCCCTAGGATAGCCATCTTCAGCCACCACCTCTCGTCTTGCACGCCTTGTGCATTTGGTGCTGCCCTCGTTGTATCTGCCCCGTTTGCCTCTTAGTTTCTCTGTTGTTCACATGAGAAGTCGTTCCGGTCTCCACTCGGTACCTTCTACTGGCCCGCTCGGCCGCCTGCCGTGGTCACAGGCCAACGACTACCCAAAAAAGGGTGCATACTTGTAGATACCTAATGCGGAAAAAAAGGGACTCACAAAATCCTCAAGCAAACGTTCTGTACCCAAACAGCGATTGCTTGCTTGTTCCGTTTCTACATAGAAAAATTGAACCGGGCGTGTCTGTTGGCGTTCCTTTCTCGAAACATGACGGCGTTTGAGGGATCCGTCCGTGATGTACCCAAAACTCTTACGATGTAATTTCCTGCTCCTTCTCCTCTCGCATCAGAACAACCCCCCCCCGCCCCGCCCCCAAAGTAGGAACAACTTGGCCATCAGTGATTGATCCGTCCTGGGGGAACAATGCCCGTCCTCTCGAGGACGCGTGGCCAATCGTCCAACTGCTAAGGCAAGCAACAGGCAAAGCACAAGAGGTACACCCCCCTGCCCCCCTTCGCTATGCTCAGCCATAATAAATGGTGAACGGAAATGCATGACCGACTCGTGCAAGTTAATCATTTACAACCCACAAAAGAGCTACAGCGTACTTACACAATATTTCTGTGATTCTAGACATCGAAAATACCTGCTTAAACAAACCTACCTACAGCCGGCGTGCATACACCCGCCGCCTATCCAAATACGATACGGCTGCTTGCTCTGAATCGTGGCCAAAGTGGTCGTTGTTGCTGAAATGCCTGCGCAAAGAGCATTGATGATGATGCTGTCCCCCTAGCTGGCACAGGGTGCTAGCGCTCTAGACTACATCCCTCGGGTCTCGAGTCAGTGGAATTCAGAACTAAGTTGGTGGATTGTGACCCATCCCATCAACGTCCTGTCTCTCTTTACGCAAAATGACGCCCGTCCCTCTAACCGTGACAAACAAAACCACCCGAAAACGCTGCGCTGCCACCAAAAAATGCCACCCGAACCCGCCAAGAATGAACCGCAAACTCGGCGCATTGACGCTCAAGACCAAGATACTAGAAGACAAGCTCTGCTTCTGCTGTTGTAGAAAGAACGTGCTTCTTCTCATTCATCACTGCTATCGACTTCTTTTTCGCCTCCCTCTTGGCGTCGTCGCAACCAACCGTCGTCCACAAGAACCCTCCTTTCGCCACAAAACTCAAAACACCGTACAAGTAGGACAATAGGAAAAGCGGAGAGTTCCTACTCGTCCTGTGTAACTGACTGACCCGGGCTGGCGCGTCAGAAATAGTCTAGACTACACCCGAAAGGTGCGCATACACCGGCGCCCAGAATAGACGGGACGAAAACACAGAACAGAACAAATGCACTCTTGATAAGTGCAGCCAACGGGGCATAAGAGCTCCCCCCCAACACGTGTCTCACTCCTTCCTAGAGCGCAACGGATCCATCTCTATCCACAGACGACAAACACTACGTCTACGCTACGCTAGGCTATTTTCAATAGTCGTCAGAGAGAAGGTCCCTGAAGAACGCCAGAACGTCGCCGGCCCTGACCGGGGCTTCGTCCATGCCCCCTGCGGGAGGCCGCCGGCCGGGTGTTCTCGGGGACCGGCATTTCTGCGCAGCAACCAAAGAGCGAAGTCAGACAAAGAAAAAGAGAAAGAAGATCAGAATACGAATGTAAAGGCTGTTGTTGTTGCTGTTGTTGTTGTTGTTGTTGTTGTTGTTGTTGTTGTTGTTGTTGTTGTTGTTGTCGTCGTTATTGTTGTCATCTGCACTTCAAAACCGTTCCGATCCCTTTTGCCAGCACCAAGGTTGCGCGTGTGTGCCGATTTATATTTTGGGAATATTTTCTGGGGCGCAAAAAAAACACGAGTTCCGGACGTGAGGAGTTGACCGCCTGGGCGACCACATCTATCTCCGGTGAAGAAAACGGAGGCGGTTCTGTTCATAAAACGGGTGCGTTTGGGCTCCGAAGAAGGAAGTCATGCGGATGGGGTGACGACGACAACAACTTGCTCCACCCTTGCATACAACAGCAGAGCAAGAGAACAAGCGTGTTGTCCAACCCGCACGACCGCAGAAAATGTATCGAGCGAGAGCAGTGTTCTTGTGTCCTATTGCAATAGCTCTCTGCCGGAGGACCCAAAAATAAAACGAGGGGAAAAAGGTGGGAAACATGAGTAAAAGAGATAGACTTGTAGCGTCATTCGATGACCAGAATGGACCACGACAACCGATAGCAGACCAACGAACTGAGGTCAGTCTTTTGTACTGGGGCCACAAACGCGAACCTGATATTTTTCTAGTATGCACATCACCATACATGTGCGTGTTACATCTCGTGAGGTGTGGTAAATATGGATGATCTAAGAGTGGATGACGCGACCTGAAGCGCGCCACTGCATACGCCGCCCAAACATTTAGCAAATTTGCAGCGCTTCTCCTCCTCCTACTACTACTACTACTACTACTACTACTACAAGCCGATACGGGAGAGTAGGAACGTAGTGGGGGGGGTCGAAGGAGGGGAGAAACCTCCTGCGAGGACTGCTGTGGACTCGCCTGAATTACGAAAGCGGCCTGCGTGGGGTTGAGGATAACGCCCATGTCTTGCAGGACACCGTTGAGGTCGGACGCCGCCACGCTACAGTCATCTACACCACCGGGATCACCCCCTGAAAAGATACCACAAGGAAACAAAAACAAATTGCGCACCAGTGGAGCACGGGGTACGGACGGCGTTTGTTGGTTGGTTTGTTTCACTTCGTGTTTTGTTGGATGTTGTTCTTGTGGTGTGCACAAGGCAACGCAGGCAACGCACTAGACAAGCACACACGCGCGTGGACATGATCGTGTCCATATGCACTACCGTACGCACCCCCCTCCTCAGTACGGCTTATGGTCGCACGTATGTACGCCACTTTGGGGTGTGGCGTGTGTGTACACCTTTTCCACCCGACAAAATCTGCACATTTACCTGGAACGTCATCTCATTTCTTCTGTCTCTCCCACGCGGTGCGCACACGTGCCCATTTCTTATTTTTGCAGTGCCGTTCACCATTTCTTATTTCACGTTGACACAGCAACACGTGTTGAAACTTTCCCACACCTCTTCACACGCATACAGCACGTTCATTCAACTTGCGCGTCCGGCAGATTACCCTACTGCCGTTGCTACATATGTCTTTCTATTTTCTTCCGTACTGCTATCCGCCGGTGGCGTGGTCACTTGCAAGGCCCTTGTGCTAAACGTAACACGCGCGCGTCACGCTACACAGTACGTAGTACACGTTACACACACAACGCACACCTAGGTTTCTCCTGCGTGTCCGGAAGACCCTTCTCAGGTGCACCGCGCAGGATAGCCTGCTGTCCGCGTCGCCCCCCGCCAGGCGGAGCTCCGAGCGCCCCTGCATCACGGTACGCCTGATGGATTGCGCGATGGGGTCGTCTCTGGTCCGCCTGGAGTATACCAGGTGCAGCGGAGGGGACGGGAAGGGCAGAAGCAACAAAGCACTACCATTGGAGGACAAACACCATACGATCGACGCAATAATCAGGAAAAAAAAGTTGGTGTTGAGATCGAAGCGATCCCCCCCCGAAGAACAACACGCGAGCGAGAGAAGCCAGCATTCGTGCACTTGGCGAGAGAGCAATTAGATCGGAGATAAGGTAGCAGAGACGAGCTTGTCGGAAGAATCGGGCAAGCTCGTGTGCATACGGAAATCCATCTACGCCCCCCCACCTCCGCAGCTCTTGTCTGGGGAGAAATTCCACACAAGCCACAAGAGGTGGCAACGACGACGAAAAGAAGCAGGACGCACGCTAGAAAAGAACTGTGCGCAAAGATGACGACGGCCGTAGTCCGGCACATGGGTTTTGGTGCACACCCCAGACGACAAGGGTCGAAAACGTGCCCTCAAATACCAGGGGTTTTGGTCAAGAACAACGCCGACTCTACACTCAACCTCTCACGAACCTGACCATGGGAGAGAAAATCTCTTCCTCCTCGTCGTTGACGCCGACATCGTTGAGACCCTCGGATGTCGGTGGGCCATGCTTGTGGCGGTTGATGGCGGGGGCATCGAAGCTGCTGCCGCCGTCGCCGCCGCCGCTGCTGACAGCAGTCTTGGCGAGAAAGGTCGTGAGAGACGCAAACCTTGCCGTAGGGGCTCCGCAGTATCGTAGCACAGCGTCCGCAAGCTCCTGCGAGTGATAAAAGGAGGGACGGACACCACACGGACAGGTGGAAAGCAGTTATGCATCATACGACTGCAATATATACAGCAGGAGAGTGGACGGTAGGCAGCAGGCAATTCTTCGCAGCACAGCGCCGAGTTTTTTTTCTTTTCTTGGCCCGCGCGCCGCCAAAGCTTGGATACCACTGCTGCACCGCCTTGCGGGTGAGGCCGCATGTGGTGCACCAAATGGGCAAAGTAATCGGTGACAAGCGCAAGGACCTCGCAGGGGAGAAACTTTGCGCAGAAACGTAGCTGCTGTGGTTTTCGGGAAAAATTTCACGGACCTTCCTTTGTTCCCCAAGCACGCGAGCGTCCGATACAAGCGTCGGTGGGTAGGGGAGGGTGTGTGCGTGTAATCATACTCAAAGTCGTGCATGAGTATGGTGTGGGGGGGGGACAAACCGGTCTGAACTACATGCAGTCGTCAGAGTGCTGGTAGAGAGATAGCGGCGACAACGAGATCGCCAGTGGAGAGGTGAGCAGAGAAAGCCCGACCTTGCAAGCTCCACGACATGACTGACCACTGAATATGTGCTTCCTCGCTCGCTCGTTGTTGAAAATATGTAGCATAGCTGCACACAATCACAGAAAGACCACCCTTTCCAGATAATGCCCCAGTGGAAGGGATATGTTGGAGTCTTTCAACATTAAAATTATTTCTGTGGCGCTTCGTACTCTCACGCAGTTCAAGTACACTGCCTCCCCCGTCCACCCCGATCTCCGTTTTGCGGGTTCAATAGAAGCCATCACCTCAGCCTCCTGATGAGAGAGGTCCAGAGGCATCCTCGCGTAGCAGAACAGCTTGACGAGTCTCGCCTTGTCCAGACCATCCCGTACCTGCAACGTAGAAACAACAAAAGACGCACGTATTCACGTCATCACCCGCTGTTGTCTACAAAAATGTATGCCGTCGGTGCGGTTGGCTGTGCAGAGACTGAGACACCGAAGTCATTCTGTGCTTTGAATAAGCCGGTCGATTCGCCGGGCACACACTGGCGTTATCGAGGGGCCTCGCCGTACCTGGTGTCCACTCGCCGCGCCTGACAGCTGTCGGAACACCCCGGCAAGCAGCGCCCTGTCGCTAAGGAGCGCCTTCGCTGCCCTCCTCCTGGAGAAGACAACGAAGGACATGCATGTCAAGAAAATGACGAAACCAAGACACAAAACGAAAGAACGACGTGTTCAGAAGTTGAACGACACGCAAGAAAACGAACGACAAAGCACACAACAATATGTCAGAAGTTTCTGCGTTAGCGTTGAGCATGTACCTCGGCGGCGCCCCGGCAGCACCGGCGGGGACCGGAACGTAAAACAAATTACGATTTCACAACGATGACGAAGATCGAACAGTGCTATGTGTGTGTTTTCGACCGCCGCTGTCGTTTGTTCCAGCACCGTACAAACTCGTGTTCGCCGCCCTCGAGAGGATCTGCGACGGCAGGAAGCACCAGGCCCAGACTCTATGTCGACATTACGGAGCCCCCCCCCCCCC